AGCTAGTAATCTGTTACTTACTTTTAGCTAGTAATCTGTAACTTACTTTTAGCTAATAATCTGTTACTTACTTTTAGCTAGTAATCTGTTACTTACTTTTAGCTAATAATCTGTAACTTACTTTTAGCCTAATAATCTGTAACTTACTTTTAGCTAATAATCTGTAACTTACTTTTAGCTAGTAATCTGTAACTTACTTTTAGCTAATAATCTGTTACTTACTTTTAGCTAATAATCTGTAACTTACTTTTAGCTAATAATCTGTAACTTACTTTTAGCTAGTAATCTGTAACTTACTTTTAGCTCTTTTCTCAGAAGAACATTCGCTGAGGAACTCGAGACGATCAACCGCCCTGCAGCCGGACTCTAAATGTTCGGAGCACACGCTGTCCTCCAAATCGTCAGAGACAAATTGAGCCAACTGCGACTGTGGGGACTGGATCATGTACCTTCCGACTAGAGGACATTCCCCTACCCACGGAGTCGATGCTGTATAGATTAATATAGGTCAAGCTTTTATCTCTCACTCACCGTGGTTTTAAATCCATCCTTTAAGTTACACTTCATAATAAATTATTATACACGGTCAAAGTGCACCTGATCTATCCTCCCCCTCTTTCCATCGCCTTTTGAAAACTTTTACTACAATACTCTGCATTGAAAAGGAAAATACATTGAATTTCTTTGTGTTAATTTTACAATTTATTTCCTGTTCACAATCTTCTGAAGAATAACAGAAAAGCAATATAACATATCTGGCATACCTTATGAGATATGTTTTTTTATGTATTAGAAACATATTACTTCCAGTAAACTAAGGGTTACATACAGAAGCAGACCATCAAAGGACATGACTTCACATGAATAAGCTGTGTAGTGTGTTTTATTTGCTTTTAACTCCCCTCGGTCTTTCACATACGTACGTACATACATTCGTATATGCATACGTACATACGTCTAATTATTATGTTTTTGAAGATCATTTGGTTTGCACAACAATAACACAACAAAAACTAATACTCAGAAGTGGAAACATAAATATATACCTTCCCTTATCGTCTCCTTGTCGCCTAACAAGTAAAAATATAAGTGTTAAGACAGCGGAAGTCACGCGACGCTGGAAGCATGCGCGCTGGAGTTTCTAGAAGGATCATGACTTTTCATGGCATCTCTAGTCTGTTTCAGGCGCCCTCTTTTTTTTAGTATATAAGTCCAGCTAATAAAACGGAGATAGATAGAGAAATAGGTATAAAAACAGATAATTGAGTCAAGC